CTGTTGAAAAAAGATAGATAAAGATATACATATATATAATACCTATATACCTATATACTATAGAACCCTTCATACTAGATGAACTACAGAAAAGTCCACAAGGCGTCAGGGATTAACATTATCCTCAGTGAAATTCTCAACCATAAGAACTGCCTAAGAACCTCAAAACTCCTTGACATTGGTAACAAACAAATCCTGTAGCACTATTAAAGCCAGAAAAAGACCCCACTATTCATGATATCATTACAGTGCATAACCCACAAAGTTCATCTCCATTGACAGATGAACAGCTTAACCTCACACCAACCAAGTTTCTCTGTGTCAACTACTCAACCTTACATAATTCATGGAAGATTGATGTGAGAATAGATATTCCAGTTGAGCTGTCTTTAGTAACTTGAAAACAACCTATGATATAGTTAACAACAGATTGTACGTCCTTCTCAGCAGTTGAATAAAAGAAACCCATACTGATCTTCTCAACAGGATGGAAGGGTATTATATATAAAAAAGGAAAGTCACATGAGAAGTAATAATACAGATGCTCCTAGCAACAGCATATCAATAATCCACAGCAGAATGCAGAGCACTAGTGTGGATGTAAATAAAATATATAAATAAAGTCAATACTGAGGTAACAGGACTCACAAAATTGCTGTAAGCACTCACCTACCCATATAAGCAGACATCATAAACTTGGATATTGCAAATCCACCAGAAAAAGGGAAGCACTAACCAAAACGGAAAAGGTTAAAGGCACAGACAAACATATCCAAGGTTCACCCTACACAGAATGGAATCTTTGAGAAAGTTTCCAGAAAACTACAGGGAACCACTCAGATTTTACAGGAGAAATGCCCTCCAGACCCTGTACAACATCAAATGGTAACCAACTGAAAAAAATACTCAAATGAACTTGAATATAAGCAAAAAGTATTAACATGCAAGTATGTGTAAAGCATAGTAAAATGGAGAGTAATGTTGAGTAGAAGTGAATATTGAAAGCTTATTTGAAAACTAAACTATGGAAAGGAAAGTTGCTCATATAGCTCTCCCATCACCCTATTGGCAAGGACATTGCTCTCTATCTGGTGTTATATGATAATTTTTGTGTGTGTATGTAAATATATGTAAGTATGTATATATATTTATACATATTCAAATATTTCAATATATATAAAATAATGAAGTGACCTTGTTCTTTTTATTTCTTTTCTTTTGTAGATGCAATAATAGTCTCAGTTTTGTTAATTTGGTGTAAAGCCCTTTTAACCCCGTAATGCATAACACAGGAAAGAAAATACAATTTAGCAGTTGTGTAATAAATTGGGGCTATGAGATGAGTTTTGTACCCTCTCCTGAAACATTGTAGAGGATTTGTTAAACAGTCACATCCATTATTAGCTAACTTATTTTTTACCTACCCAGCCACTTGAATTCTAGTGGAATTGGCTCTTTTGAATCCCAAGGTAATGTTAATTATTTTAAATTCACACAAAATCTGATTTAGCATATGTTTAGAATGAACAATAAACTTATTTTAATGTTTACCAAAAAAATATGCAAAAGAATCTTTCAAGTCTTCCACAAATTATTAGAGCCACCAATATCATGATAGGGTTCATGTTTTGATTGAATTTGGATTCTAGTAAGAAAACTTTGAAAGCTTATCAGCTGATCTGATGTAGATTTGCAACATGTGTCTGTATCATCTAGCTGTAAGTTGATCCCACTTATATAGTATAGTGTTGCTCTTCCATTTTCCCCAAGTTATTAGGTGTATAGTGTTTGATTATTGTTTTAATATTGCACACTATAGCAAATTGTCATATACATTGACTATAGTCAAAACAGAAATGTTCACAATTTTTAAAAGAGAAAAAACATGTACAGTATATATCTACTCTTCCTTCATGAATGAAGAGTCACTGCTTGGAACATGGCCAGAACACTGATAAGGACATTGCAGTATAATTTTTTCTTTTTGCATTTCTTTATCACTAATTTTAATATAGAGTGTTGTTCAGAAACATTAGTTTCTACCATCTCTTGGTATATTTTAAAATCCTTTTACTGCATATTCTTTTAAACTAGATGTTCTAATTATTGCATTATTATCCCAAGAAAAGAAAGGATTTTTTCACATAAATCACCACTGTTTCTCAGAAAAAAAACATTACACATCTGCCTCATTTAACCCAATGGTGCCGGGGAAAATGAACAAAAAATAGGGAAAATGCTGTGCCCACTTTTTATGTTTTTCGTGAAATGTCTGCCGATAGATGGCTCTGCTAGCGCCTGATTTTAAATGGCGTGAAAAACGTATTTTTCACTTGTGCTATGAAAATCGATGGTGTTATTTTTATCATAAACATTATAATTTTTATAATGTTTTTTAACATTCGTAACAGCAAAATAAGATTACGTAAAATATTTTGTAAATCAAAGAAACGGGTAAACAGGCGAGAGGGGCGGTACTCGTAGTTGGCTCATTGGTGATTTAGTACAAGTGTTACCATCTATGCGTAAAAACAATCAAACAAGTACTCACGGTGGGCATAGCACGTACGTACATGTCATACCTGGCACCAATTCGTTAAGGATGACTCTTCAGACATTTTGTGTGGCTATGTGTTCATTCTGTGTTTTTACTTTTAATGGAAATTAAATCTTGGTGTATAAATCTACTTTTTGCAGTTCAAAATTCTGTCCTCAAGTAACAAATGTATTGTATGTTTTGTAACATACAGAGAGAGGCAGAGCTTCTTTTCCCCACTTCATTTGTCCTGTACTTTAGAACAAACATTACACTCATTATAATTATGTTTGTCTAAATGCCAGGTTGCCGATATCATCCCACAAGAGATAGACTCTTCGCAAGCAAATAAGAGCCCTGAGTTATCCTCCCAGGATCCTCCTACTGTAGCTTCCTCTCAGTCACCAAAGCCGGGTGTACACCCTCCTTCTAAGGAAGGAGGCCTTATTTCCATGATGGTTAATATGCCACAGGTAACCAAGCATTATTTCTATGTCTCATTCTTATGTATATGTATATATATATATATATATATATATATATATATATATATATATATATATATATATATATATATATATATATAAATGTATATATATCATATTTATATATATACATATATATATAAATACATCTGTATGTATATATATATCATATATATACATATGTATATAAATACATATATATATGTATATCATATATATACATAAATATCATATATATACATATATATCATATATATACATATATATACATATATATCACATTTATATATATATATCATATATATATATGTATATGTATATGTATAGGTATATCTATAGATAATTATATATATTTTCTTTTATATGTGTATGTATATACATATATATATATATATATATATATATATATATATATATATATATATATATATATATATATATATATATATATATATGCATACACAAATATATATATATATATATATATATATATATATATATATATATATATATATATATAAACACAAATATACACACACACACACACACACACACACACACACACACACACACACACACACACACACACACACACACACACACACACACACACACATACACACACACACACACACACACACACACACACACACACACACACACACACACACACACACACACACACACACACACACACACACACATACACACACACACACACACACATAAACACACACACACACACACACACACACACACACACACACACACACACACACACACATACACACACACACACACACACACACACACACACACACACACACACACACACACACACACACACACACACACACACACACACACACAGATAGACACACATACACAGGCAGACACACACAGACACACAGGCAGACACACAGACATACACAGACAGACAGACACAGACAGACAGACACACACACACACACAGACACACACACACAGACAGACACATACACACAGACAGACACACACACACAGACAGACACAGACACACACACACACACACACACACACACACACACACACACACACACACACACACACACACACACACACACACACACACACACACACATACACACACACACACACAGACACACACACACACACACACACACACACACACACACACACACACAGACACACACACACACACAGACACACACACACACACACACACACACACACACACACACACACACACACACACACACACACACACACACACACATACACACACACACACACATATTTAGATATACATTTTCTTATAATTAGGTATTTATATTTATGTTTTTATAGAGCCAATTCTCATTAATAATTATTTGGTTATTGGTACTGCAGACGTAAACTTTGCATTATGATTTAAGAGCTGGTGCCATGGAATTTTGACTAAAGCAATAAATTATGTTGATATTTAGATTGTAACTGCAACCGTGGAGACAGTCGGTGAACTCGACATTGCTGCAAATATACCACAGGAGCATGTGGTCAAAGCAGTAGCAAGAGCTGTGACACTGACTGAAGAAGATGTCGGTAAGTTCATTTTGAATTCTTGGTATTCTTTTAATATACTGTAGATGCTACTATACTCTGTGGTGCAGCACTCTCGCTGACCTGTGTTTAGATCAATCGCCACCAGTAGGTGGTAACCCTGGCCATTCCTTTCACATGGGGGTAATTTAGAAGCAATATAAAACAGACAGCATGTCACACCAAGAATATTGATTGTAATAAATGGAATTTTTTTACCCTGAAGTGTCCTGCTCATGTGTTATTAGTCTGAATTATTTAGGTAAGGCAGTCTTAAGAAGTGAAACAATATAGCATGTTGTCCTTTAAAGTAAACAAAAAATATTTATGTTCAATATATGTGATGGACACTGCAAAAGCCTAAGTTATTATAAGTATTATTTATATTTGGAAGATGAGATAACCCTCACTTTCACCCTCACCCTCACCCTCATACTCACATTAACCCTAAACTAACCCTAAGCTCTACCTTTGCCCTCACTTTTATCTTCATCTTCACCTTCACCTTTACCCTGAGCCTCACCCTCTCCCTTATTTTCATCCTCACCATCACCCTCACCTTCACCCATCCTTTTATCCTCACCCTCATCAATCCCAATCACCTTTATACCCTGAGCCTCACCCTCACCCTCATCTTCACCTATACTGTCACTTTCACCTTCACCTTTACCTTTATCCTCGCCTGCATCTTCCCTCTTACCTTTACCCTCACCTTTACTCTTACCTTCACCGTCAGTCAAAGGGTTAGAATAGTAGATGTTAGTTACAGTTCATAATTTGAAGATTTTGAAGTTTATATCTGTGGAAGCATAATGGCCCAAAAAGAATAGTTTTACCAAAAGTGGCATCCCTATTTATTTCTTTACTTTGCTCCTCTTGTATGTATTTATTTGGTGCTATAGCTATAGCAGATTTAGTTTTGAAGCTGTGGAAGAATCTGTGATTTTTCTTATTAGTGTTCAAGATAAATTTAAGCAGTTTAAACATTTGCTTTCATAGGAAAGCATTATTTTTTTCTGATAGTATAGAGGGATACTGTGTACAATTTACTACTTCAGAAAAATGCAAAACATCTATTAAATTTATCAAATATTTTTTCATAATTTTTTATAATGTGTATCACAATATATCTGAAACCCTCAATGTATTTCTTTAACATTATCATCTCTTCTGCTTTGCTGGTAGAAAAAGGATGTGTATGACTTTAGAAGCAGAAAATTGGGAATAATAATTCTGGAGGAGATCTTTTTTAATATTCATTATACAAGGCAGACATTTTATATATATGCACTTTCATTTCTAATGTGTTGATGCCATGAGTACATGTATGCATGCCATGTCCACTGTGATTTTAAATTGTCAGTTATTAAGCCTACTTGATTGTACCTGGAATTTGCTGAGAAAATAGATTTTACTTTTATTAATATTTTATTTTTTCATAATGTAGTGATAATGATGTTAAATAACAACAATAGTTATTATATTAGAATTTCCCCCCAAAAAAAAATTGGTATGGAATAATTATGTGAAATAAGGTAGGCATAGTAACTGACGTATTGGTGACTAAGCACTTGCAAAGCCATCTATGTACAGACAAAGTGGACAAAATAAAATTGCAGTGGACAGAACATTTGCCCATTGCCAATTATTTTGTGATATAGCCCATAAAGAATGCTAAAAGAAAGATAATAGAAATTCGTGCCTGTTAATTGTCTAGGGAACAATGAGAACAGTGATGGATGGGTCAACTCAGGAGGAAAAGAGGCCTTAGATATGCAATTGTGTATCCACTGCATCACCTGTTAGTAAATGATATAGGAAAATAATGTTAGGATACAAATATTTCCAGGGCATTATGATAGTTTCAGAAGTGAATTAAAGTAAAATGATAATTATATATAATTCTCTAGCTGCCAGTGATACAAGTTACAAAGGTTTAATCCATTTACAAACCTTTTAACCTTTTAATTAATATATTTGTCACCCTATGGCAAAAGAATTCAACTCCTTTCATTGCCATCAGTGACATATTTGAGAACTCTTTGTCATGTATACTGCTTTTGTTCTTATGTCTGAAAATACGGGATCAAAAGAACTTTCTCCCTTGAATAGCTTGAAGGCACATTTTATGTAGGTAATCCTTGTTGTTATCTCAATTCTCCCTCTTTTATTCTTGCTCTCTTGACTTCTCAGTTTCTTCAGGTGGTAAGTGATAGTTTCTTCAATCAAGAATGATTATCAGTCTTCCTCATTTGTTTTTATTTGACTTTCTCTTTTCCTTTTTCTGTATAAATTGAATGTATTCTGTTGCTCGAGCCTGTCATATAGTTAAATATAATTCTGGAATGTAATATTTGATCTTGCAATTATTCACTAATTTGCATAATATAAGCTATAATAGTAGAGTGCACTTATACAAGTATTTAGAACTATAGTTTTTATCTGCCAGGAATTTGTTTTCCATGTGAGTTTATTGTGGTTCCATGGAATCCATAAACCACGTGTTCAGAGACTAATTCCAGGAAATTTATAGACTGTATAATTTTACAATATATTTTCTCTAAAGTTGTTATTTTATAGATGGCTGCTGGAGAGTTTCAAGTTGTTCTCTTTTGTCATAATTATTTTCTGTACATCTGGAATTACTTTGGATGCTGGGAAAGATTATTGATGTAGGACGGTGACACAGGCATTACCATCTTCAGCAAAAACTTTGTTCTTTGCTTAATTTTGTTGTGTGCCTCTATTTTAAATACTTTATTAGAGACTGTTTGGGTAATGAAAGCTAGAGTATTTCTTCTTTTATTTAGTTAATTATTTGTAAATAGCAAGTTGGGCTGGTAAATAGTATAATTCATGTGCATTACAAAAGAAGTAGAAGTGGATGATATGTAATGATATCACATTTGTAGTTTAGAGTCTATTCCTCTTTGTTCTTCTTTCCTTCACAAGTGAAAAGCAAAATTATTTATGATTTAGAACAAACATCTTTTCAGCGCATGCAACTGCAAACGTTGCTCGTCCAAGTGTGGTAGACGAAGATGATAAGCCAATTGACACAACTCAACATAGTGATGAGGAATCTGACTCTTTCTGGGTGACCTCACAGGGCAAATTCAAATTTAAAATGGAAGAATTACCATCTCACCTGCAAGTCATATACACCATACTGAAGGTATGGTGACTTTGTATATGAGTTTTTTGACTTTAACTGTATATTTAATATATTCATATAAGGATGACAATCCATCTCTCTGTCACAGTGAATGAAGAGCTCATGTGTTCTGACTGGCTTACAAGATGACAAATTCATGATTAGTAGTGATCCCATGTCCCGGGGTCATTTTGCCAATAATCTGGGATCCAGTATTTTCTCACTTTTTGAATAGACTACTGCACTTATATCTGGAATTTTATAAGAAAGGATAATGCTCTTTCATCTGATAATGATTTTTTTTTCTAATGGTCATTTCAGCGGCTGGAAACAACAGAAGATGGTGATGTTGTTTATCATATGTGTGAGTGTCTGAAATACTTGGTGCTTCATGGAGAAGCCATGGCTCATGCAGCAAATGAGCACAGAGGGTTTTTAATATGGTGTCAAGAAAATAAGTCTATCAAAATGTGAGTACATCCTGAATGTTGGTTAATGAATTGACTTGCTATATATAGATGTTAATATTGATATTAATATTAATATTGACACTGATGGGGACAGGGTTAACCCATATCAACTACAAACTCTCGAGCATTTCTGTCCCCCCGCCTGCAGAAAAGGCCTGATTATTCAAATTTAGGTTGCTGACATTTCAAGGGCTCCATTTTACACTCCAGAAAATATATATTTTTCATTATCATATCTCAATTACATAATGCATCATTAAAGTACAAACTTGAAAACATGTAGATAAAACACATACAAAGCAGCAAAGTCATATCTATATTATACAAAACAATTAGATTGTGTATATAGATATATTCAATGGTTTATACATATATATTCAAAGGTTTATATAGATATATTCAAAGGTATCTAGACGTATGAATAGTAATAATAATTCTCTACCAGGAGGAAGCTCAGTGGTACATAATACCTTGGTGTGTGGATGGGGAATATGTGAGAGGAGATGAGGGTTTGGCTAGATTAAATATGCCATAATGTGCCAGTATTACTGATTCACACACTATTCACAAGAAGAAAAAGCTAGGAGAAACATGACTGGATGATTGGCTTAAGGACAAAAGAAAATGGGGATGTGGGGATGATATTGAGGATGTGATTGGAGGAAACTTGTGAAACAGTGCCAGATTTATTAGTAGACACTACAGGTCTCATTGATAACAAAACCTTACTGAAAAAAAGCCTGCCAGTTTCATAGGTTTTGGCCAGTCATGACAAATAGGGCTGGCTATACATTATGAACAAAACTATGGTCATGGAGAATAGAAGTACAGGGAATGAAAGTGATGATTGTAGTAATTACAGCATTAATGCTGTAATTAAAATGTTTTTTTTCACTTCACTGTTACATTACCACTTTATGTTCCTAGCATGTGGTCACTGATAGAAGCTGAATGGTCACATGTTGCTGAGGTCTGCGTTTCACTGCTGCTGCACTTTGTAACTCTGCCATGTGGTTCAGACATATTCTGGAAGCTGTGTGAAAACCATTTCAACCATCAGGATTGGAAAGTCCGATTTCAAGCAGGTTAGTTGACTCTGAATATTTGCAAACATTATTATTGATAACTTCATAGGTAAAAATCTTTATTCTGTTTTGGCTAGCAGCTATTTATAGATAAGATAATATTCATCTTTACTTTTCAGTTGAAAAGGTGGTGGTCATTGGACGGTTTTTGGGGTTATCTGCTGTACGACAGTGTCCAGGACTGCAGGCAGCAATTGCTCATGCATTTTGCTTCCTCATTGCATCTTTAGATGATATTAATGTTGCAGTAGCCCAGCGAGCTTCTTTGTACTTGACAACTTTACCAGACTGTGGCCTGCGAGCACTTTGTTGGTGCTTAGAACAGCAGGTAATGATGGAGTATGATGAAAATGATTTTGAGTGCCTCAGTATATGTAGATTATTTATATAAATGAAATATAATCTCTGTTTTGCCTCATCTCTTCATTATTTTTCCTCATTGTTCTTGCAGTTTGATAGTGTTATAATGGACAGGCCTATGATTATTCAGGCCCTTCATCAGTTGAGCTCACGCCTTCCAGATCGTAGAATCTTGTCATGGGAATTCTTTTATAATCGATTTGATGCACTTTATCTTGAAGCTCAGATTGCACTTGAAAAATATGGAGACATTGCATTCCCAAGAGGTAAGAAATCTAATGATGTACAGTCATATTTTTTTGTGTTTCTTAAAGACTTTTGTTGCTGAGTGT